AGCCTTTACATTAAAGATTATCCATCGTTGAGACCTGTCCTCTTACAACTGTCTGTAATAAGAATGCCACCTGAGGAGGCAATTTACATTGCCACACCAACGTCCAGGGGAATGAATTATTTACACATCTCATGAGGGAACCAAAGTACGAGCGAACTGAAAAAATGTCATCCCGTACTGTCCTCCACCTGATACAATCACTTTCTCCTACCCGAATTTGTGCATCATGTAGAAAGGTCATAAACAACGAATAATCTTCCAATTCCCAATACTGTAGACCCCTCCAAAAGTAATATTCCAACTATAGCTCCCATTATGAACGACTAAGAGATCACTCACCATAGTAGAGGGCACTGAGACAATGCGGTGCAAGGAAGGAAATCCCTCATTCATCGGTTGATCTCCACACCAACAATCATGCCAAAATCTAATCTCATTACCATTTCCGACCACAAACTTCAGTTTGTCCAAAAAATCACTCTATCCCCGTCGGATATACCTCCACAAATTCACCCCATAAGAACCACGATCCTCAAATGTACACCATCCCCCATCCGTTACACCATACTTCGACCCAATTATTTCTCTCCATAAGCTCTCCCTCTCGACTCCAAATCGCCACACCACTTGCCTAATAAGGTCTTATTGAGCAACACAAGGCTCCTCACCCGAAGACCCCCCATCCTCATTGGTAAACAGACAACTCCCCAATTGACCAAATGGAGTCTCCTCTCCTCCCCCAACCCTGCCCGCAGAAATTCTCTTTGAAATCTCTCTAATCTCTTTGTCACTGCAATCAAAATGGGGAACAATGACAAAAAGTAAGTAGGGAGATTGGAGAGAGTGGATTTAATGAGAGTAAGTCTGCCTCTCTTAGAAAGTTACATACGCTTCCACCCTGCTAACCTTCTCTCCATTCTTTCCACAATACCATTCCAGATATGGGTACTTTTAAATCGTGCCCCTAACGGGAGCCCTAGATATGATATCGGCAACTGTGCACCTTATAACTCAATATATCAGCCAGCTCCTCCACGTTATCGACCTCCCCTACTGGAATAGCCTCAGACTTTCCCAAATTGATCTTCAAACCAGGGACCGCTTCAAAGCATAGGAGTAGATGGCGCAAGTTCCTGAATTGTTCAACATCTGCATCGCATAAGATCAGCGTGTCATCTGCAAATAACAGATGGGACCCCTGCAATTGATCAACCATAAAACCCCTTATCAAACCCGCTCCTACGGCTCTTTCAATCATCCTACTAAAAGCTTCCATCACAATGACAAATAACAATGGATCCCCTTGTCTCAAGCCTCTACTACTACAGAAATAACCCTCAGGCGTTCCGTTGACCAAAACTGAGAATGAAACAGTAGAAATACAGAATTGAATCCATTTACACCACTTATTCCCAAAACCACAGCGCCTAAGCATATACAACAGGAATCCCCAATTTACATGATCGTAAACCTTCTGAATATCTAGCTTACATAACATCCCTGGGACCCTTAGACGCATTCTTGAATCTATGTATTCATTCGCTATAAGCACAGAGTCTAAAATCTGACACCCTTTTACAAATGCATTCTGAAATTTGGACACTACTTTTCCCAGCACCTCTTTTAATCTGCTTGCCAAGACTTTCGCAATAATCTTATACACCCCACTGACAAGGCTAATGTGGCGAAAGTCCTTAATATCAGTCGCTCTAGGCTTCTTAGGGATGAGCACAATAAATGTAGCGTTAGAACTTCTCTGGAATCTGCCACGTTCAAAAAAATAAGATAAAATATTCACAATGTCTGGTCGAACCACATCCCAGCACGCCTTGTAGAATGAGAACGAGAAATCGTCCGGTCCCAGAGCCTTATCATCGTTCATGCTGAACACTACCTCCTTAATTTCATCCTCCCGAAATGGTCTCTCCATCCATTTGACATCATCCTCCATGATAGTAGAAAAGTGCAATCCCTCCAATTCTGGCCTCCATTCAAATTGCTCCCAATAGAGGTTTTGATAGAAATTCACCAGTTGGTTTCCAATTTCCTGTGGTTCCTCATAAGTAACCTCGTCCACCTCCAAAACTGTGATGGAATTGTTCCGCATATTAGAATTAGCGACCTTGTGGAAGAACTTAGTACATTTATCCCCTTCTTTCAACCAAGTAACTCTAGATTTCTGTTGCCAAGTAATCTCCTCCATCTCCAACAACCTTTTCATCTCTTCCTTTAATACTATATGTCTCTCCTTCTCCTCCCTATCCAACCATTGACTCTCCTCCCGCCTATCCAACTCCTCTATCTCTGACAGATTGATTTTTACTACAGTTAACATTGCCCACAACTTCCTCATTCTATTTCTTTAAGTCCCCTTTCAACGCCTTTAGTTTCTGATCCACCACGTCTGTATTCGCTCCCTGAAACTTTCTACTTTCAACCACATCTTCTCAAACCTGAAAGGTCTTCTTCCTCCACCCCTCCTTTTCCCAGATAACATAATAGGAAAATGATCCGAGTACACCTTCCCCAATCTTCTCTGAGTGACACCTGAATATTTGGACTTTCACTCCCTACAAATCAAGAACCTATCAATGCGAGACAAGACGGGTCGATCCCGATTAGATGTCCAGGAAAAATCTCCCCCAATCATGGGTAAATCCACCAACAAATTCTCCATAATAAAATTTGAGATCTCCTTCATTGCCCTAGTTAGTCTCCCACCACTCGACCTCTCCGAAGGAAATCGAATCGCATTGAAATCACTCCCGATACATGTTGGGAAATTCCACCAAGCACTCATTCCAGCTAGTTCATCCCACAAGCCCACTCTACTGTCATCAGAATTAGGCCCATAAACTCCTGTGAACATCCACTGAAATCCATCCTCGCAATTTTTGAAAGAAATCGATATAGAGAACACCCCTATACTCACCTCCTCCATCTCAAGCACTCTAGTGTCCCACATCACCAACACGCCTCCTGATATCCCCGATGACCCCAAAAACTGATATCCTACATGGTTCCCCCCCCCCCAATAAACTACTAATCACCGCTCTCGAGATAAAATCCATCTTAATTTCTTGTAAGCAAACAAGATTTGCCCCCCATCCCCTTAGCAAATGTCGAACACCAAGCCTTTTACCAACCTCATTGAGCCCCCTTACGTTCCAGCTAATGAGTTTTGGCATCATTATAGTACTCCGTAATCCCTCCCCATTGTTCCTTTTTTGGACTCTCCACACCCTTACCAGCATAGTTTATTGACCATTCAAGCTTCTTAAGTTCGCAATCACCATTTCTTCTTAATTTACTTCCACGTGTACTGATGTCTTGTCCCCTATTAGCCTCCAGCTCCTTGAATAATTGTAACAATCTACTTTCATATCCATCACATGACAAGCCAACCAACCTACCGAATTCCTGAATTTTTTGTCGAACCCAATTTGAAGGTGGGTGTTCAACTTCAAACACATCAGCTTATGAAGTTTCCTCTCCGTGATAGCCCTCGAGATGATCAAAGGACCGTTCTTTCTCTTCCACCACTTGTATAATGTCACTGTCGCTTTCTCCCTTCTTGGCAGCATCTACCTACAACACCAAATCTTTTTCGGTCCCCATATCATTTTCTTTTGTCCTCCTATTATAAATGTTCGTAATCCTTGATGTCGAATGTGTAGTGTTGTTTTCTTTCACAACGTCCATTTTCATTGTCTCCAAGTTCACCATACTCGACTCTCCTTCCTTAGACAGTGGTTCCACCTCTCATTCTACTGCAATCCCCGTGTCTACTTCATTCCGGTTGAACCCCACTAAGTCAACCCCGTCATGTTTTTTATAGTACCCCGCTTCCATCCTCTCCTGAGACTCACAATGTTCATCGCTTCCCTGCTTTTCATGTTCTGTAATTGATGGTAGTTCCTCATGAGTCAATCCCGGTACGTGTATTTCACCGGTTTGATCCTCATCCAACTCAACCCCACACTTGTGATAGCGTACCAATTTCATGTCATCCAATACTCCTTTCAACTCCTGGACACGGGCCATTATTTTAGCCCTACTCAAACAAATGTCATGACCTTCGTTATCACCGACTTTAATTGTCCTTTCCTTTTGCCGAAGAATTCGTTGGTTGGCATGCTCTGAGGTCTGTGAGTTTGCTGTAATTTCTGCATAAGTTATCCTTTGTCTGTTTTATTCATTCACCGCTTGTCGTTTTGTCTTATCCCTAGCAACAAATGAGTCAACAATTGCTTGAAACACCTGCGAGACCGACGCTCATCCCTTTCCATTTGCACCTTCTGGTATCTTCAAACGGAGGAACGGACAAGCCGATTGATCTTGGAGCAGCGGGCTGCCTTTGCATATTTTACGATGGCGACGCGTGACCCACACGCGCCGGTAGACGAGTAGCTGGTTCGGCGCGTGTAGGAGACAGAACGCCGGCCAAGGTAGCCGGCCTCTGTTGAGGCCTCTGGTGCGGCGCGTTTCCCTGAAAAGTGGTCGGATCTAGCGAACTCTTCCATGTACTCCCTGGATTTCTCCACTCTTTGCCGATTTCTGCCCTATTTCCACCAGGGCTGTCGCCGGTTGTGCTGTCCCAAGACGTGCCGTGGATAACATAAGAGATCCCGACGGTGGCGCTAGGGCCTGTGTGTGAAGGTAGTGGTTGGGGGGCCTGATTTATGGCGTGGTGCCTACCGGACAGTTGGTCGTCGCCGTCGCCGTCGCTGGTAGGTATGGGTGTTGGCTGGGTTGGGTGGTGGTGTGGTGGCTGGGTTAATTTGGATTGTAGGGGGAGCTCCATCCGGTTCTCTTAGAAACTGGCTCTGATACCATGTAAAATATACTCAATGATACTTAATAAAACTCTGTTCCATCTTAATTTCATACCTATTTGGATTTAAATGGAGTATTATTACTTCGAGTTGTTCATTGTCTTGGACATTTCAGCTTGGTCCTTATCTCTGACAATGGTGAATTCCTTTACATTTTATTTGCAGATGATCCCGAGGCAGCTTATGTTCATCATCGCAGCTTCTTAAATGAGCATGTAGTTTTCAAGGAGGTACATTCTTCAGATCACCCCCTCCCCTCAATCGGAAAAGAAAAAAAATGTCAGCTTGTGGAAATGTTGGTATTGAAAGATTGGCCGAATGAGTTGCTTGATGTGCAGGCCATATTTTTTCTCATTCCTAATTCTATATGGCATATTTCAGGCCATACCTATTAAAGACCCTTTAATCCTTTCCAAGATACATCAAACTTACAGAATTGGTTATCTGAAGGTAATACTATTGATGCTTTGAAGTGGATCTTCTTGTTCACAACTTGTATTATAAATGAAAACTTATGTTTTGTACTGCCTTTGGCAGGATGTCATTTTGCCCAGAGCATTGGATGAGGCCACTGTTGCAAGTCTTAATTCCATAGTTCATTCAAATAATGCAACTGTAGGATCCCGTCAAAGTTGCTTCAACCCTTAAACATCTATTTTTATCCCAATTCTGATTCTGTTATTTGCTGTAGGTTGTTTCGTTGTTGAAAGATGACAGCACCTTCATTCAGGAATTGTTTGCAACATTGAAGTCTCCTACTACTACTTCAGAATCAAAAAAAACATTGGTAAACATTGATCCTGGAATACCTCTGTACTCATTTCTTCAAAGTTCATCTATGTTTGGTGGTGGCAGCGTTGATATGGATGCTAAAATCTTGGGGACTCAAATTATGAGTCACATATCATCTCACAATTTCATGACTACAATCAGATCTTGAATTTATTAGTTATGCGAGATTTCTAGGATAAGTTACGCAACATTGACCATCAAACAATGACATTCGTTGGCTCAGTAACAAAGTTTTGTGACTCTAGTTTAACTTGATATTTGACAGGCTGCTGGTGTTCCATTTGTGCTGCCAGTGTTCCAGTTGTTCCCTAAAATTACTGCAGACCAGCTTTATTTAATATTTCTTAAGTTAATAGTCACTAATAACCAATCCAATTATTAAAAACTAACTTTGTTCAACCCAAAATTAATGGTTTTGATTTATTGTAACTACAACCTCCAAATTGTTTGTAGATAATACTGGTTCTATTTTTCTCAACACCAAATTAGTTCCACACTAAATTAATGTTTCTAATGCTCAGAGGTTAGTACTTGTAAATTGCTCCTACGAAATGCTAACTGCGAGAGATAAATTCGGTAATACTTTATATGCTTGTAGTGCTCAAAAAAGAACCTTACATGCTTATATTTTACATATGTAAAATGAATTAGCAATACAACTGCTGGTTCTAGTATTATGTTTTATTTCTTCATATATAAGACATAAGAGCTTTCTGGATATCAGATCATATTCATAAACAGATAATCCTTAGTTGAGAGACTGAATTATGTGTGGTTGTTTGTATAGGTGAAAAACATGTGATTGATTTGGGACTGGATATATAGACAAACTTCCTCTATCTTGGCTGTTCTCAACTCCAGTAACTCTTTAAACCTTGAAGCTTTAATGGGTTGGAATTAGTTTTCTTTTAAAGAATGTTAATGGAGAGGATGGAATAATGCATCCATTATTTCATAATTTTGATTCGGTTACGGTGGAAAGGCTTGTTGTTATTACCCCTATTATTTTGACTAGGACAAATATTGAAGTATTGACATATGTAAAGCATGAACACTCTTCCTGTGGTGGGTGTTGGTGTCCAGTACCTAGGACATCAACACTCAGGGACATCATCTCAAAATTCACGTGGTCTGTCGTATAAATTTTTGATGTGCTAGGGACACTTTCTTGACATGTCTCGGGCATGATCCAACGTGCCATATGCTATGCCCTATATTTTGTATTATTTTAATTTCTGCACATGGAGGACACAACAAGCACATTTGTTCAGTTTGGAGTGTAAATTTTTAATTATTGAAGCATTTGCATAAAAAATCAAAACTAAGTGAGAAAGGTTTGGAAACTTCATGTTAAATTTGTTTTTTACTTTCTATATGCATTTTTCTTGAATTGGCACTAGTTATATATTGTACAACCTTTGTGTTACGTTAAACAAATAAAGATTCTAATACAAAATATTTTTATTTTTTTTTTATTTTTTGAAATACAAAGTATAAAAATAAAGACAAGAATAAATTCAGAATTTTAAAAAATTTTAATCAACGTCTCTGCCACTGTTTTCTGCTTATTTACATAAGAATTTTCCGGGTGGGGTTGGGCTGTTCGCTGTCTTACCATACAACACATTTTTTTGATTGAAATAGGTACACTTCTTGCATGAGTTTTGTACATTAAGTAAGAGCTTGCAGATGGTTCAGCAGCTCCGGCTATTTAGGTACGTTAAAGTCGTACTTTCCATTTTATTCTTTTTCTGGTAAAAAATCAATATAAATTACATCATAGTCACATCTTCTTATCTTAGAAATTGATTTTTCACTTGTTCAATGAGTTCAAGTTTTGCTGCATGAGAAGTGAAATGTAAAAAAAGTCACGTGTATGAATTGGTGTTATTTATGTTCTTTATTTGTTACTGGAAGTATTTTTATGCTTGTAGGGATCTTGTCAGCGAAGGCATATTTGACATCATAGCTGATGTTTTGCAGAGTGAAGACAAAAAGCTTGTGTTGACTGGGTAATAAAATAAGTCAAAGGATTTTACCATTACTTATATTTTTTCTGGCCAGAGTATTTGAAATATTCACAATAATTTGCTGTAATGGATGCAGGACAGAGATCCTCATTCTGTTTCTGAATCAGGATCCAAGTATTTTGCGCTCTTATGTAACCAGGCAAGAAGGTGTTCTCTTTGGACTTCTGGTGAGCAATACTGGATTCTAGCTTCTATTTTAGATTTTAGGGGCATTTCTCTTTTTCTCCCGTTCAACTTGATGTTTCGTATAAGGACGCATCCTTTCCTTCTGTATACTCTTTTCCTGCTTCAAGCATTTTCAAGATCACTTTGTTAAAATGGTTGCTTTAAGGGAACCTCCGTGCTATTGCCTTCTGGATCATTTGCTTCATGTAATGGTGCATAAATTGCCTTTAGAGTATCAGTGGAGTTAGGTGCTACATTGAGGCAGACATTTAGAAAAACTCTTGAATTTTGCATTAAGTGTAGATCTAAGTATGGACACTTCCATGATCATGGATACGGGCATAAACATGACGTGACCTGAACATGGAATAACATCATCTTCAAAAACGTAGGACTTTGTCACACACTAATAGACATTGCATTAGAAAAATTGTCTTTTATAGTTATATAATCCAATTTTTTCTTGTAATCTGTAAAATTGGAAACTTTCAGAAGCATATGGACTTAAGATCATCTATGTGGCTTTACATGTTCGTGATATTTGGAATGAAGTATAATTTTCTATGCATGTGAGGAGGTTATTGGCATTATTTTTGTTATAATAGTTACAAATTTTTGCAGTCCTTGTCATTTATTTGATAATTTTACTTTTCTTGCAGAGAGATACTATTGTTGAAATTTTCTACGAGAAGCACTTCGGTCAATTAATTGATGCTATAACATCATCATGTGCATCAAATGATTCTGCTCAAACAGGCAGTAAGTTTGTGAGCTCAGATGGAGGAACTGGGGATCAAAGTGGAGTGAAACCTGAAATACTTTTGAACATTTGCGATCTTCTATGCTTCTGTGTTTTGCAGCATCCTTATAGAATAAAGTAAATTTAATCCTTCATTTTTTTTTTTGATAGTTGTGAAATGCTGCATCAGAATTCATTTTGAATTTTAGCTTCATGTTGTTCTGCAGATGTAATTTTTTACTTGACGACGTGATCGGTAAGGTTTTGTATTTGACAAGAAGACCGGAAAAGTATCTTGTAGTTGCTGCTGTTAGATTCGTGAGGACTCTTATTTCTCGCAGTGTAAGTTGGTTGATTTATCTTTTGAAATTCTAGAGAATTCCTCTGTATCTTATATGGGTTTCATAATTATAGGAATTGGTTCTATCCTTTTCTTCTCTATGAAATTTTGAGAAAAAAATAAAAAAAATTGTGATTTCTATCCAAGAGATAAACAAAGTTTACATTTGAACTGTTCACTCCTGGATAATTTAATATGAAACGTTACTTTCTGTGGAACTATTTGAAGTTTTTATCCTATAATTGGTGCGTGCACACTTGATTATAAATTGGTAAATCTTCCCTCTTCACTCTACCTGATTTGCTGCATTTTATAAAATTTATGCTCCTCAAGGATAATGCTTTCCAATTGATTATCATATTTCTGTGTGTATCTGATCACCCAAAGGAAGAATGGTGTGTATTTAAGAAACGAAGTGCCTTAGTAATTTAAAGTATTTTGACCTGCTATTTTGTATGCTGGTCATGCTCTTTGGCTCTGTCTCCCTTGAAATTGTGTTTTTTCATGAATAACTCTTGTGAAACCTTATGTTTTCATTCTAGGTGTCCAATGGCATGCATAAGCTTGGTTCTCCATTTCTTTGGATATGCAAGTCATTGTTTGTTTGGTGATTTTTTGCAGGATGAGCATCTGATGGATCACATTGTGAAGAACAACCTTTTCAAACCCATTGTAGATGCATTTGTTGGTAATGGGGATCGATACAATCTATTGAACTCTGCCATTCTTGAACTTTTTGAACATATCCGAAAGGTGGTTATCCCCTTCAGATGTCCGTTAACTTGCATAACAGATGCATCTAGCTATATTTTACCATTTCGTTTCCTGAAACGTGTTTTGCAGGAGAACTTGAAGTTATTACTTAGATATGTAGTTGATTCTTTCTGGGATCAGTTAGTCAAATTGGAGAACTTACCTTCCATTCAAGCTCTGAAAGTTAAATACGAGCAGGTACTTCTGTTCTTTTATGGGTTTTTATGGCATTTGAACTTCTCTGTGTTTAGATCATGATAGATGAATTTGCAGTCCCTAGAGACTGACGGAGCAAGAAGCAATGCTAGTTTGTTAGACCAGAGGAAACGGACAGATGAGCGAGCTTTGGAGAAAGAAGAAGAAGACTACTTTAATGACAGGTGCATGTTTGCTTTCTGCTGCATTTTTTTTTTTTTTTTGAATGGTTGTGGATTGTATAATGGTGGATCTCAAATCACATATACCACATAATTACCGATTCTGCATTTAATTAGTGATGAAGAAAATTCTGCATCAGTGGCTACCTCTAACAGAGTGCAATCTCAGCCTGTCCTGGCTAATGGGTCTGCTTCAAACTACCCTTCATTGAGATATTAATTTCCACAACTATAATTTTAATTTTCATCATCCTAGGTACTTATAAATCAATCTTACATCTATTTATAAAGGCCTAGTGGACTTGTTGACTACGAAGATGACGAGGATGATGAGGATTACAAGCCTCCACCTAAAAAACTGTCTGATATATCCGAGGAAGATGAGGGACTGGCAGAGTTCCGGTTAAAACGCAAATTAGTTACAGAGGAGGAGCCGGAGCCAAAAAGGTTGATGCAGTCGCCAAAAGGCACAAAGCCAAGAGAGGGTGTACTTGCTGCCTTGTGCTCTACACTGACTCAGGCTGTAATACCAAGTAAGAAATCTAAAACTGGTGCTGGAATTGATGGTCCCCAGTTGGATGCAAACAGTAATAATATAGAACGAAATTGCAATGTAAAGGGGTCTATAAGGTTGGCTGATGATAATAGAAATACAGATGTGGAAACCCATGCAAAAGATGAAGCTGCTTCTCCTAGAAGCTTTTCTGATAGCTTGCATGATTACCCAGATAATAGGCAGCGGGTTGATGACTGTGCATTGCTATCGCCCAAGTCCTCACCGGAAATGGCTGTGAATGGATCCTGAGAGGTCTCTCTGGAAAGCTATCCATGTAATTTACTAGTTAACACTTCTGCTGTGGAAGAGTGGGCCATGGCTATCTCAACTTTCAATAGAGAACTTGACCAAAAGGAATGGGCAAGGATGCGGAGGGGTATTTCAAATGAATACCCCTTGACACGGGGAGGATACTGTACAGCGCTGTAGCAATGCAGAGATTACCTGTAGGCTTCCCTAATTTAGTTTTCCTGCCATTTTAGGCGGAGTACTTGTCTGTAAAACATTCAATAACTATAGTTTTTGCTTCTCCAATTCTCCCTTGCTTGCGCTTTTGATGATTTTAGATTTTTTATATGGTTAATGCGAACTCTCTAATATTCTGTATAGTTATTGTTTCTTTATTAGACAATTTTGTGCGACCAAGAGAGGTTGAGGCACGTTTAGGCCATATTGTGTTCAAATGTTTTTGTATTTAATATCTGTATAGTATTTAAAGGGAGTGATTGTTGAGGCGTTAATTTTGTTTTCTAGGTATTGAAGGGTAAAATTGAATAACGGTGTTAATGGTTAAAGCAGAGACTTCTATGTTATTTTTAATGGGTGATCAGTGCAAATAATTTTCACTGTTCTACTTGTATACTACAAAAAAACATTTATAATTTATGATGCGTATGCATTATAATGGCCTACATCTTGTTTCTTCTCTTGGTTGCAGTGCCATTACCAAACAATTTGAAGGATTTTTTTTCTTCTTGAATTTGCAAATGTTATTATAAAGTTTATACATTTTTTATTGCAATCCATTGTTAATGACACAAATCATTGAAGGAATCGAAATATTAAAAGGTTATTTCTGAGGAGAGGAACACAAGTAGAGATATGTCGAAGACTTGAAAGACAGCTCATCTCTAATACCATTCCTTTAAACTCGTCTCCGTCACTATCCTCTTCCACTCCCTCGACTCCACACAGCCAGAGTCCGCCGCCGCTGCTTCCTACCCCTAAACAAGCCCTCCCCTCCAAATAATACCTCAGTGAATTCCACGTCTGGTTATGCCATTTTCTACCCATTTTATGAATCCCAAAATTCCAGTCAGAATTACCAATCTTCGTTTGGCTCCAAGGTGGCCCAGGCTGCTCCTCCATGCTAGCCAACTTATACGAGCAAGGCCCATGGCGCACCTGCACTGAAGGCAATCCAGGTTCTTGGAAACGAATCTTTGGCTTGCTTTTTCTTGCTAGTCCTATTGGAACTGGAGCTGCCGCACCTCAAGAAATTGCAAGAAACCAACACGATGTTGCTAAGCACCTTATTACTGCTATTAAGAAATTTGTTGCAATAGGAAGTGGCTACTCATGCTATAAATGCTTACGATATAGGTCTGATAAATGAAAAGCAAAAGAGAAACTTCAATCTGATGCTGTTGGATAAACTAGAAATGGTAATTGGAGAGATGGCAATCATGACTGGTTTAGCCGGTATATATCACTTCAGAAGGTTAACTCCTTACCAAGATGATTTAGTGGGAGTGTTTGGAAGCAAAAAAGGCACTTGAAGTCAATGAAAACATGGTTTAGAGGTGCGCAACAACGTGTTGGGCACACACAAGGGATGTCAATTGGGCCGAGCCGGTTCGACTCGTGGCTCGTTGAGCCTGTGATCGTTTGGTCACTGAACTGTTGTTTTTTTGTCCCCCCCCTCCCCTTTTTTTTTTCTATAAATACCCCCTTCCCCCAAAGATTTTTTTTTCATATCAATTGCTCTTCCAAGATTACAACTCTCTTTTATTATATCAATTATCGAGTTTTTACTCTTTTGTGCTGCAAAATATACAATATCAATTCAATTTTTACAGTTTATTAGTTACAATTTTAATTCATCCAATTCTCAATTCTCAGAATCTCATTACATTTATATTCATCTAGTCAAGATTTCATTATAAACAATCACAGAAATGGATAAACATTCATTTGTTGAGAGCTTGTTCGATACAGGATGTGAGCCATTGCCACATCATGGAGAATCGCCTAGGACGCCGCAAAGTCAATTTTCAAATGAATTTACCGGTCTAAATGACATACCGATATTTGAAGATATTCACATTCACGGTCAGGGAAACCACACTCCAATTGATTTGGATGATATTAACGTTCCCGAAGCGGAGCATGAAGATGAAGATCAGCAATTAAATATCCCAGATGCGAGGGGAAAGCGAAAGGCCAAAAAACAAGCAAAATGTTGTGATCACTTTAAGTTGATTTTAACAGGAAAAGTCGTTGATGGTCCTACAGAATCTAAAGCAGTACGTAAATACTGTCAACAAAGATTGACATGGCAAAAAGGAATTGGTACCACTTATCTCAACCGCCACTACAAATCATGTGTAGCCAGACATGGACTTCTTCCAGCTGGTCAAACATAATTACAATTTGGCAGTCCAGGCGCCGGTTCTACAACTTCACCCCTATCCACATGGGTGTATTAGGAGGACGAGACTCAAACCGGAATGGTGAAATTTGTTACCGCGATTGAGTTGCATTTGGCTATTGCAGACAACCAACACTTCGTCTCGTTCGTGAAAGAATATCTACAACCGATGTACGTTGGGGTAAGTCGAAACACTCTTCGTGTCAATACAATAAATTATTTCAATAATTCAAAACAACAATTAATTATGAATTTGCAACAATATGGGGGTGTTATATCCTTAACTTCTGATATATGGGAAGGGGTTAATAAAAGAGCATATATAGCTGCAACCGCACACTATATAGACTCACTTTGGTGCATGCATAAGAAAATTATTGCTTTTAGAATTATTGAATTTCCTCACAATGCTAATAATGTATATAATGCTATTATCAATATTGTTAGAGAATATTATTGTGAGAGTAAAATTCGATCTTTTACTTTTGATAATGCTAGCGTTAATAAGGTAGTCGTCGATAAATTGTGTAGGACACTTCAACCTGATTTTGGTGGGTATTTGTTTCATATTCGTTATGTGTGTCATATCTTGAATTTAATTGTGCAAGATGGTTTAAAACATATAAAGGATGAACTTCAAAGGATTAGGAATTCATTAGTATATATTACGATCTCTCATAGTAGAAAACAAGTATTTGAAGATTTTTGTGCCGAACTAGGGGTGATAACTACTAAAGCATTTGTTAGCGAGGTAGGTCATAGATGAAACTCTACATACTTGCTATTAAAATCATGTGAATGTTTCGAAAATTTAATAACTGACTTTTATAATAATAGACATGTTTGAAGTGATGATGATGGTATGTTAAATGAATCCGATTGGATTTTAGCTTTGAAAGTTAGACGATTTTTGACATCTTTTTATGAGACCACAAAGATTTTATCCGGCGTTTATTATCCCACAAGCTGTATGGTGCTTGAACGCCTTTATATAATTGCAAGAACATTCCATAAATATAAAAATGATCTTGCTTTTAGTGAAATTTTAATTGCTATGGAATTAAAGTTTAGAAAATATTGGGAAGAACTGCCTATGTTATTTTCTTTAGCATGCGCAATGGACCCCCGATATAATATTTCGGGAACTAAATACGTAATTGATCAAATCAATAAAGTTTTAATACTTGATACACCTATCACCTATAAGAATTTAGAGCAAACATTATTTGGAATGTATGATTTATATGCGAAAAGAATGGGTGCAAATGTTAGTCGGGTACCCTCTGCTGCACCTATTCCTTCTGCTGAAACTGAAGAAGATGCTGCGGAAATAATGAATTTATTTCAGGGCATTAATACATTTAGATATGATGCAACTGCAATGTGTTCATCTAGTGCCATGTCGTCTACATCTACATCTGCATCTCATCAAACATCAGCCGAAACTCAAAATGCAATGCCTGTTGAATTAATTGATTATTTCAATTATAATATGCCAACAGACAGAACAATTAAAAAAACTTCAGAAAAAGTAATTGAATTCTGGCGAAAGTATGAAAGACGTTGGCCAATTGTTTCTGCAATTGCGAAAGATCTATTGACACCTCTGGTTAGCACTATTGTTTCGGAGTCTTTAGTGCAAGTAAAAGGGTTTTGACTGATGTCAGGAGTCGACTGAAAGAAGATGTTTTGGAAGCGTTAATGTGTGTGAAGGATTGGCAGGACGCTTATTTTCGACTACAAGATAAATACGCTGAAATTGCATGTCGTTAGGTAAGTGATATTTGATTTAATTATATTAATCAATTTTTTTTATTTTTTAATTGTTAAATTTAATTTTCTTTAAAAAATTGTACATGTTACAACAAGTTGTTCGTGTACAATTTTTAATTCCGCCTACTTAAAATTGATATAGTCGGTCTCAAGCCCAGATAAAGGAGGAGGGTTTACATTTTATTAACTTTAAAAAGAAATAAAAAAATATACTTTTTGTAAATGTATTTCAAAAAATAATTCGTTTTCTTTATATAAATATTTTATACTTTATAAAAAGTATTACAAATTACAATATGATATAAATAAAAAAAATAAAAACTTTTTTTTGTTAAATTATTTGTATTTTTTAACACTTTTTATTTTTAAAACTCTATTCTTTACTAAAAAAAAAAAAAAATAGGCGAGCCCATGAGCCGAAGCTCGGCTCTGCCCACGAGCTCGTGGGCTGAGCCGAGCTCGCCCAATTTCAACGAGCCGAGCTCGGCTCGCCACAAGCACAAGCCGAGCTCGTGGCATTAAGGGCCGAGCCGGCTCGGCTCGACCCATTGCCAACCCTACACACAGCGTGATGATGGGATGAAATGGTGAAGTTGTTGCTTAAGAATGCTCAAGTTTTGCTCTAATAGGGACAATGTGATTTTAGAGAGGCTTGGATGAAGAAGATGAAGTGGATAGGAATAGAGAAATTTTTGGGAAAGTATGGAGAGTTGATGGGAAGTTTAGCTGGCTATGTGCAGAAATGGAACAATTTGAGCCACTTCATGGTTATGAATGCAAGGAATCTTGTGCCCACAGACGAGGCTATGAATTCTCAAGCAATGATGGAATGGAAGGTTCGATTTTGGAGAGAGGAATGTTTGCAAGTAAAGTATTACCTCCCAAATTTGACATTGCTTTTTGATAGGAGGCAATATATATAATTCCTAATAGGCAGGCCAGTCGACAGTGGATCATTTCCCGTTCCCATTAGTTTCTTTCATATTCGGAGGAAGGACGAAGCCTAAGAGAGAGAAATTCGATTCGATTCTGTTCATCAGCATAAAAACTTTAAACCATTTAGGAAGAGAGAAATTCAATTCATTTGTTTCAAACAACCTACTACTAATCAATGGGTAAAGGTGGCTGTACACCAAGCACAACTCCTAATCCATTGAGTTTGTAACGCTGCCTTGTGTGCCCCCGTCCTACAGATCATAGCATTTGAGCCAATCAATTCAAATTGATCTTTATTCAATAGATTGAAAGACAATAGTAATATAGTAAATCATCATCTGAAAATTGGATGGCGGCCACCCAATAATAATTAAATTTCTT